TGAAGTCATAGAGAGGGACACCACTGCAGAGATGAAACAAAAGAATTCAACAATGATTAGTTTAAGGCAAATAGAGAGTTAGTATACTTAGCTCTCTATGTGCCTCAAAGTATTCATTGCTATAAAAAGTATTCTCTCTCCAAAAAAGAAAAAGAAAAACAAGTTCCCACTATTTCCCCTTCAATTAATATTATTGTCCTTCCACAGAGAGGCTGCCTAAAAATGAAAATGAAAGGCAGCCCATTGAAACTCAAGAAGAAGCTCATTCAACTAATATCCCATGGAGCTCTCACTGAAAATTTATTTGGTTAAAAAAGGAAAGAAAATTGGTGGAAATAAAACTGAGGGAGCATAATCTGGGAATAAGATCAAGGAAAAAAATATTTCTCTTAGTCATCTTGTTAGCTTTAGGGAAAAGAATCACTGTATTTCTTCATTAGTCATCCCTTTTCCATCTTATATGTTTTTGCAATGAATTCTGTTCATCATCATCATATGGATGATGTCCTAATCTTATTTTGTTTAATCTCTACAGTGGTCAACCTATCTCTGCCTTCAGCTCTTGTAGTGTTGAGCAATACATGATGTTTCTAACTTCAAAACTCCCAAAATGCATTCTCGACAAACCCTTGAAAACAGATATTGATGCACCTGCAGTTTGTGGAAATAACTTTGTGGAGATGGGAGAAGAATGTGACTGTGGCTCTCCTGAGGTAAGTTTTTTTAAATCAACAAGAGTGATTTCAAAAATTTTCTCCTTGAAAAATCATCTGGCTATCTAAGTGGTTTGAGCCATCCAATAGGTTGGTTTCTGAATGGCATAGGTTTATGTGCTTTATGTACATGCATGAATGCTGTGGCTTATTGGATTTGAGGAACCAGTCATGGAGGAATAAAGAACTGGTATCTCATTAACAATTGGGGAAGACAGCATATTTTTAAACATGGGTGATTTAGCTCTCCAACAAAATTCTTCCCTACTGAAAACCCTATTTTGTTGACATGGACACATTATCTGTCCACTATTTTCCTGAGCTGCTTTCTCCCAGAACTTATGATCTTTAATCTATGCTCTGATCCCTAATAATATTTTTATAAGAACTATGATTTACTGAAGTGTTTTCTCTATATTGTTAAATACACATATAAGGGTTTGTAAGAATGTCCTTGAGAGACAAAAGAAGGAGGAAAAATCTACTCAATGGTCATATAAGTGTAACATATTAGCCTGCTGAAGCAAGGGGANTATTTAAATAAATAAATAAATTCAGAGAGTGGATGGATCGGTTTTGATCTTCTCCTGTGCTGTAACTTCCTGGCTTTAAAGTTTTCTTCTGGATGTATTTATGTGTGTTCTGGAGTCTTGGTGGGCATGCATGCATTCAGAAGAGCTAGCTAGATGAATTCTGAGATGGTTTCCTCAACTCAAAATTTTTCACTTAGTCATCATTTTTAGACAATTAGTGTTAATGGTAATTGGATTCACTTTCAGTTTCTTAGCAGACTAACAATAAACAAAGTATTCTCTTTTCCTTAGGATTATACCGAAGAAATACTTTTGATGGCAACTACAATGGCCCATGAGTTGGGTCATAATCTGGGCATTGATCATGACACAAATGGCTGTATTTGCCCTGCTAACACATGCATTATGTTTCCGCAAATAATGTAAGGATTGAGGAACACTTTTAATGCCTTTCCAATTGTTATTTTTTAAATACTTGCAATTAACTGTGAAATTAAATATAGTGTGGACTTACAAAAATGAAATAGTCAGGGAGTTATAAAAAAAAGAGGAATTGGGTCATTTGTGTGTCACTTTACTATGTGTAGTTAAAATTTGTTATATTTAAAAAGGTAGAACTGCTCTCAACAATTGAATAGCAATCATTCAGTAGCTTCCTCCAAAACACTAGAGTTTAAAGAAACAGAAAAGGAAGCATAGCCTAAGAAACAAAATATCTGTGATGGATAACAGAGGAAAGTAGATTAGACATTAAAGACTTGCATTCTTCTGAAACTAACGGGAACAACATACAGGGAGTGATTGACTTACAAACATTTGTTTAGCAACCATTCAAAGTAACAATGGCAATGAAAACAGTGATTTATCACTGGTCCTCACAGTTACAGCCTTCACAGCCTCCCTTCAGTCACAGAATCAAAATTTGGGCAGTTGGAGGCACCAGTATGAATTTATGGTGGTTCTAGCATCCTGCATTCATGTAATTGTCATTTGTCTCTTTCCCATCTGTCCTTCCATATGTAAAGTCAATGGAGTAAGCTGGAGCCCCTTAATGATTGTGTGATTCACTTAACAAAGTGGCAAAACTGGTTGTAAAACTCAGCATGACTCACTTAACAACTGGCTTGCTTGCCGATGGAAATTCTGTGGCAGTAAGTGAAGGAGTAGCAATATTTTGTTCCATATTTAGCCTTTGCTTTATCAAGAGGGAAAAAGAAAAGGAAAAAAGGAAACAAAACAAATTGATGAAATCTTCTCAGCAATTGTCTATTGCAAAACTCCCCATAACCTTTGTGTAAGAGTTGTAAGAGCTTGTCTATTTAATGACCACCAGATTGTCTTTGTGTTCTTGTTTTCAGCCCCTAACCTGAGGGCCAATGATTATATTCCTATTGATTTGTATTAATATTAGGANAATTTCCATTCCTTTTATTTCTTTATTTTGTCGAATATTCCTGGTTAACATTTCCAAAGTCAGTATAAATAGCAGCGGCAACATTGGCTATCCCTGTCTAGTGCCTTTTTTAAATATCAAGGTTCTCTGTCATGTCCCCATTTATCATCTCCTTAGTTGATTTTTTATTATATATTGCTTTAGTCATATTAATACATCTCTCTCCAAAGTCCATATTTTTTAGTTGTAATAACATAAATTTCCAATTAATGTTGTCAAATGCTTTCTGGGCATCTAGAAACATTAACCCCATTTGTTTTCAGGGCGCATTATATAATACTCCAATGTGTTTAAAATCATTCTCATATTGTTTTTAATCTGTCCCTTTAGCAGAAATCCATTCTGGCCTTAATGTATAAATTCATTCAAATACTTTTTAAATATCTCTGCTATTATCTAAGCGTATATTTTATAGTCCACATTCAATAAAGATATTTGCCTATAATTGTTTATCTGCATTAAATCTGAATCATCTTTTAGTATGAGAATGCTGTTTCCTTCCATCCATGAGTTTGGTATTTCTGCTTCTAGCAGTACTTCATTAAATACTTCCAACATCACTGGGCTTAATGTCTCTTCTAGTTGTTTATAAACTTTTGCCAGTAGCCTATCAGGCCCTGATGTTTTATTATTCTTTTGTCTTTTAATTATTCTTCTGTCAATTCCTTCATGGTTATTCATTCATTCAACATATCTTTAACTGTGTCTAGTACTTTAGGGAGTTCAGATTGTTCCAAATATTGTTGCATGTTATTTTACAGAATGTTCTCCTTATCATACAGTTTCTCATAATACTATTTTTAATGGGTTTTTTTCTCCTCATTCTGATAATAAAGAGTCCCTTTCTCATTGATCTCCTCTTCTTTCTTATAGGGGCATTGACTTTGAAGGAAATATTGTAGGATATGCTCCCTTAGGCAGCCTCTGCATGTCAAAGGAATCTGTAGCAATTATTCAGGTTAGTAGAAATGATACCTGTTACCTATTTATACTCAAATGAAAACTTATATATAGGCATACAAATAAAGCATCTTCTTCTTTTTGATCCAAGTCATTTTCATCCATCTTTATTTACAGATTTGACATTTCCAGGTCCTGCCTCAATCAATGGCATTTTGGCACAATACATTCTAGACATGTAGATTGAGCTTTTTGTATGCCATGAAATATATCAGAAGGTGACAATATATTATATTGTTTCTGGAAGAGTCTAACTGTGCTCTGATTGGAAAATAAGCAGGTTACCACAGATTAAAACACTCCTAAATAATGCTTTTGAATAATATTCTTAGCAAACCTAATGACAAACATGAATCACTCTTATTTTCTTACAAGAAATTTAGGATCTAGATTGCATATGATTGAATTAATGTGCATTGAGAAAATGGGGGAATACTAAACCTACTTAAAAAGAAAAAAAACTGCAGCATTTTAAGACTCTACAAGAAAACTATATTCGTTAAGGTGATACTATGCATTTATTGAGAAACAAATAACTTAGTTTTTGTTCACGTAGAAAGAATGGAGAGACATGGCAATAAAAAAACTCATAAAGTTTTGTTTCTTAAGAAGCACAGTTAGGATTCAAGTAGTATGAGGTAATCCTAAACTTGTTTGCTCAAGAAGGTCATTTTTATTCAGAAAGCATAATTCATTCTTAAGCCTGTTTAGGGCTTCAGCCTTCAATATTGTGAAAATACTAACTCGCA